AAGAAATAAGGCGCGCTAATAGGCCACTGTATCAGGAAACATGGGATTGGGGTGGGCTGAAAAACTGGTAATTGGTTGTTTAGTTGGGAAAGTTGAGCCTGTTGGTAATTAGAGATACTGACACATTTGAGAGCCACCAAACAGGCGACGCGCCGAAGGAATACGCGGAGGAATACGAGGGCCCGCGGCACGGAAAAGGGGCAAAGGTGGAGGTTTCTGAAGAGCACTTGAGCCAGTGAGGGGTGAGGAATCTGGGAAAAACATGTTGGTTACCTCTTCAAAGGTCAAGACAGGGCAAGTGGGACTGAAAGAGAAAAAAAAAAAACCCGCCCTGCCTCTTTCCACCTGCTCCAATAACTTAACTAAATTTCTGCTCTCCACCCCCCCTCCCCCCGATAAAAATGTACTCTTTCTTTTTCATTCCATTTTCTCATCACCCACATCTGTCTGTCTTCCTTTCATGTCTCCGGTAGGTTCAGGGTTTGTTGGAGCTGGATGTGTACAGTGTGTCTGAATCGGAGGAAAAAGGGAGGCCTGAATTATGCATGAGGCTTTATAGGAGTTGGCGGTCTGTCTGGTCCCATATTCCCTGTCCCACACAGGAGGAGTGGGCCTGCCTGGGAGCATCCCTACCTCACGTCACTCACACTGCCCATATACACTGAATTCATATAAAAGTCTAACCCACTGCCCGGGATATATTTATCTATTTCATCTCTACCGAGAAAAAAAGAATTTCCGCTCCATCTCTTTAGGGCGTCTTAAAAGCGGTGGATAATATAAGTGATTATCCAATTCACGTGAGGGAATCGGTGTGCGGTGTGTAAAAACAAAGCGAAGAGAAGCTTTCCCGTCGAGCAACCTGCACGCGCCCAGATCTAGGAAGAGCGTTTGTGTTCCTTCTCTGAGCTGTGTCTTACACACAACGCGCCCTGGTGGTGTCATCCTAGCATCATGTGCCATCAGTCAGCCCGGGACTCTCTGACACTGACAGAAGTTGTCCGGAGGCTCGTGCTCGACCCCGTCTGACGATGACACCAGACATCCAGTTGTCATTTAACGTGTGCAAGTGTGTGGGTGTGATGGCCTTAAGGAGACAAAAACACAATGTAGATATCACTACACGTTTAAGGCAGCCAGAAACCTTAAGCGGGTTTTCCTGGCTGACTGAACGGAACGGTTAGTCCAGTAACGCGCAGGGACGGGGGCCCTTGAAGCGTCAAGACGATAGAATAGGAAGGGAAGGAGGCTATTAAACAAAGGGAGTGTTTTGCTGTGGCTTATGTGTGACAAATTCTAGCAGTTGGGGGAGCTTTCACGCTCACTGGAGCAGGTCATTACGCAGGAATCGCTGCTTCCCCGGCCCCACGCCGGCCATGCGTTGGGTTTTTTTTTTTTGAAACGCACGCATCTGACGGCGAGCGTTTCCCCATAAAATGCTCAGCTAACCCCAAAAAGTCTCACGCGCCGATTGCTGCGCGCCTCTTGGGAAGCTGGCGCCGAAACAGCTGCTTTGTACCTGTCAAATCTCCAACGAGGCCGCGCGTCAGAGGTCCGGATGAATAAAGAAAACAGCCAGCCGCTGATGGATGTCTGAAACCGGGGATACTTAAAGAGTTAGAAGGGGAATAAAAACTGAAATCTGGTCCTGGAAGGTAAGTGGACTAAATAAAGTGGGAGATGTGCTCCTCCACGAGGGAATTCTCCAATCTCTAATCTCCAGGTTAGAACGTGCGGGGATGCTGAGGCTGCTGACAGACACGTTAATAAAAGCTGACACGTAAAGAACACAGAATGCCTCATTCATATTACCCGATGCAAGTCACATACAGACAACGAGAAATACAGAAAAAAAAGGATTGCCTGCTTCTATAGCAATTTATAGCAAATAGCAGAAAGGATAAATATATACAGTATGTGCATTCATCCATATATGTTCATTTATGTCCATCACACAAATGCAACATAAGGAAGGTGACACAACGCACAAACACACAGATTTATCACTGACGACTTGATGTCCTGTCAGTGTTTGAAACGACAAAACCCCAAAAGAAATCTGATGCATTGTGTAATTGTTGTTTTTTTTTTCTCCTTTTTTCCCACCCACATTGAAACGTGTCGCTTGTAACGAGTCGTTATTAGAAGCAGATGTTGATTTTATCGCCGGGTGTCTGTGGCTTCTCTCGCAAAGACGACACAGTGTCATATGCTCCGAGATGGCAGGACACATTTATTTGCATGACACACACACACACACACCTGTCCTCCACAATCCAACGCGTCACCGTGGCGCAGTAGGCGAGCTAAACTCACCAGAATGATGTTTCATTACATGATGAACAGAAGGTGATAGCGAGGAGGGGTAGATGGGGATATGCATAACTTAAGTAAAAGCCATTGAAACCCATATTTGTCTACAGATTTGTTTAATAAGGAGAAAAATCCCAAGCAAACAAATGAATATGCCTGTGGTTAGAACTGTGTATTAAGATCATCACTTACACGGCCGGGCCTCCTCTGGCCCTCTGCAGTGGCGATCCATCACGCGTTATTATACAAAATGGAATCTGCATGAGGCAGCAACAATACCTTGAAGAAGTTTATTTATTTATTTGTTTTGTTTTATCTTCGGGGGCGCTGGGCTGCAGCTCCTCGGCCGCTATTAGCTAATTACAAAGCATTTGATCTCCACGCCTCCGAGGCGCGCGGTTAGAACCCCCCGTCTGAAAATGAGGGGCATATTTCACGCCTAAAAAAATGGCGGAATAGCTATCCTTGTACAAAGCTGACATCAACATCTGGCTGGTGTGTGTGAGGTTGGGGTGTACGCAGACGTGAGGACGGTGTCCAGCCCACGCTGCTGACCTCTGCCCAGAGTTTCAGCAGCCCCCACTAGGCGTAGAAAAAAAAGACCAGGTAAAGGGGGGATTTAGCAAAGTTTGCAGCACTCTGAAGTACCTGTAGCTCGGGCTGTGCTGCAGAACTATCTGTGTCTGCATCACACAGGCACCGCCACCTCTATCTGCCGTATCTCTGCACATCACGCACGGGGGACAATAGCCATTATCATTTTATTAAAATGTGTCCTATCAGCAACATTTTCCCCCCTTCTGTATCTCACCTTTCCTTTTGTCTCCACCCTTCTTTCTTCTCCCCAAACCCTAATCATCATTCCCCTCCATCGCTTACTGGGTCTAATTCCCTCTCTTCCTTCGTTTGCAAAAGGACCTCTGCTTTCATCCTTGGGAAAGGATTTAATTCGAAGTGCGACGTTGAATAAAGAAGGGAAGGCAGAGACGGAGAGAGAGACGGATGCAGAGAGGCAGAAGCAACGGAGACGTTCGGGTGTCAATCAATCGGGCGCGAGGGGCTACAAGGGCCCACGACTGGGGTGCGTTTGATCTGTGTCTTTCAAAGGGGGAACGGCGGGAAGGGCCATCACAGACGATTTGCCTCTCGCTGCTGGCCCCGGTGCCACTCTGACAGAGAGCAATCACAAGCAGGTTAATTCAACATCTACCTTCTTAATCTTTTTTCCCCCTGTCTCTTTCTTTTGGTCTCGTTCTGTCTACTTAGATGAAGAGCTGCTCTTCCTGCTCCCACCTCCGCCTCCCCCTTTTTTCCCTCTTTTTGAAAGCGGAGTGGCTCACAAGTGTACTTTCCACGTCTTTTTAAATAAAGCCCTCCTTTGAACGCTTCGGTCTTAATGAGGTTAAGGGATTTATTTATTTTTTGTCATTTCGTTCCAGATATTCAGTGAGGTAAAAGTTGTTGTGCTTTTTTTTCATTTTCTGGAGCATAAAACGCCATCTGCTGCGGTTTTTAGATCATTTCTTCAGCTGCGACTCGCCCGCGTGGCGTGAGCTGAATATGTTATGGAGCCAGGGTGACATCTTGAAAACATGCCGCTTAATTTGACTGGAAGAAGAGGATGTGTTTCCTCCAGGTGACTGAAAAATAAGGTGTGCTGCACACGAGATTTGCCCTTGGCATAAAGCACTGAAATCTTAAAATGTATCGTTGGCTGATACGTGACTGGCCTGAGCAGAACCTTCTTGGCCTAAGAAGTTTCTCTTTTATGGCTAAACAGGTCAAACTTGGAAAAAGACAAATAAATACAAAAGAATCCACTTTATCTAAGGTCAACCATGCATAGGGGCAAAGAGAGGTGGGAGGCACTGTGGGGTCAGAGCAGATGAATAAACCTAAAGGTGCACTTTGGTTAAAGGTGAGAGGGTGCAGAGAATATGGAGGGAGGTGTTTTAAAAAAGTACATGAAGGTAAAAAGGTTGCACTGGGAGGTTAGGAGGTGGGAGAGGAGGAGATCAAAAGGAAATCCTTAAATTTGACAAAAGTTAATTATACTAAGAATAAAGCCCGATTTGGAAATTCTAAACAACAAACTTTTCCGAGTCCGACACAAGGACACAACCCTGGTCCATTCGGCCTCCGGGAAGGAAGCGCTTTCCCTGTAATGTCCCTGCGTGGCCTCTTTTCCACAGCGTTCCCCTCCTGCTCCACTGCCTTTATGGAAGGTCAGAGGGATAACAGGATAAAGGCTGTCCTCCCTGTTCCTCTGAAGGACAGCCACTCCACCGATTGGATTTGGTGGCCTTCAAGGACAAAGCGGAACACTGGGACACAAAAGAACCAATAGAGGAAGAACAAGATTTCATCTGTCTCTGTGGCCTGAGTGATTGGCAGGGATGGCTAGACCGCAATCTTTGAGCTCTGCCTCTTTGTGGCTGAGTGCCCTCCATCAGCGAGGAAAACAAAACTCCAACCACTGACAGAAAAAGAACGCACAAAAAGAATGTGGACGGGCGGTCCTTGGCGGAATAATAGCAGCTGGACAGGTGTTACAGGGGGAAAAGTCAGGGGGGGTTTCGTTAAAAGCGATGGCTTCAAATGTGGATTTGTGGTTGGGTTTTTATTTGTCGGTGCGGATGTTTGCGTGCACATCAAGTGGGAGACAGTGGGTTTGAGACTCTGAAAACCTAAGAAATTGGAAAACTTTTTTCGACTGTGAGCAGAATCCTCACTAGGCGTTTGAGGGAAGCGTTACCTGCATGCAGGTAAGCCAGGTCTGGGTTCTCGATGTCGGCGTGATTCTCCTTCAGGTGATTGCGGAACTCCATGGGCGAGTTGGTGGCGTAGTTGCATTTGGGGCAGTTGTACATCTTCACGCCCTCGTGCTTCCCCGTGTGGAGGATGTGTTTCCGGATGTTCTCGGCGCAGTTGGATCTAAGGGAGTCAAATCAAGAGGGGGAAAGAAAAGCCTCATTACTTTTTGGGATGGAGTGGAAAAGAGATGAAAGGACATCATGAGGGAGAAAACAGAAGACAAACATTTACAGTCGTTCCCAAGAAAGGGCTTGTGTATCAGTGTTTTATCTTTTGATTACGATGACACACACACGCACACACACACACACACAGACAAAACTCCTCTATGTTTGGGAGTTTTCAGATAATCCATGTTTGGACAGCCTCTCCAAACATTTGCTGCCTAAAAACACCCACAACCACACGTGACTAAAGATTGGTTCCACAAACAGCAGAAAAGAAGAAGAAAAGAAAAAAAACACACTATTTTATGAATATTTTCATCCCACATATTTGTTGTGCACTTTCAGTTGTACGTGGAGAGAGATTGTGGATCTAGAGACCTACTGACTACTAAAGAGAGATGTCTGAAGACATCCATTATGCTTCATGTATTTTCTGCAGCTGTATGAACGATAAAGGATTAGCAGTGTAAGACGTGTGTGTGTGTGTGTGTGTGTGTGTGTGTGTGTGTGTGTGTGTGTGTGTGTGTGTGTGTGTGTGTTTGGGGCTGGTCAGATAGTGCAGGCCAAGCGGCGAGTTACTGCTGGGTACAGGATGTAACAATGTCAGCTCGGAGAGTCACACACAAGCCTTTTTCTGATTAATGACGCTGCCTGACCTGCTCCTGGGCTCTATCTAAACCTGCCCTCCGACACACACAACCTCTTGTGTGTGTGTGTGAAGCCCTGAATGTTAAAAACAGACACGTGCATACATACATAGCGAATACAGACTCACAGAAACCTCAGATCGAATAAAAAAAAAATAAAAACAGAAAGCAAAACAGCAACGCCGAAAGCTCAAAAATAAGGACATGACTTCATGAACACACACACACACCGCCATGTGCCTTCATATAATACATCATGCAAGGGAGCATGTGCGGAGTAGAACATGGTTTCGCACACCGGCGTGTGTTGATGGATAGGGCGGTCCTGCTCAGTTTGGACCTGACATTCTCGGACAGTATAATATGCAATTACTCTCCCTTATCACCTTGGCCGGGACAATAAAGCCTCACAGTGCCATAGCTCACTCCAGCCAAGGAGAGAATTTGTTTTCACTTTTGCCGAGAAACCTCTCTCGATCATTGGGCAATAGTCCGGCCCCGGCCTCAATGCAGACTACAAAGAAAAAAAAAAAAAGACACAGCAGCCCCTTAAACTGGATGGCGCATGTGTATGTGCAAAATAAATATGGACCAGCCACTAGTGAACAATGCGGGTTCCTCTCTGAGTCAAGGGCTGTGTCAGGATGCCCAATCGTAACAAAAGAACAGAAAAAAAAGAAAGAAAAGAACAAAGCGGATCAGCATTGGTGCTACCAGCACTTCTGTTAACCAGAAAAACAGGGAGCAGATTCACAAACTTTAAAAAATCAAAGAAAGTGAGGCCAGGTTACACTCAATAGCCCCATAAGCATGTTATGGCCATGCGGTATTGACCCAAGAGCTCAACCTGGCACACAAAACAAACCGAGCTACCACCCACAGAACTTGTAACTTTAGTTTAACTGGCTCAGGCTGTAATAAAAGTTTCAGAATAAATATAGCTTCTTGCATCTTGAAAACAGAGCACAACTGTATGCAGGTAGTGAAGAAAAACTGAAAATTAATAAATAAATAAAAGTAATTATGCTGAATTCAAAGTCGGAATGTGTACCTAGTTTATGTCATCTATTTTTTTAAATGCCCTCATAAGTTTAGAAAAGTAAAGCGATTTTTAAGTGTGCATCAAATCCAAAAGGTTTGGCTCTCCCCCGTCTCATTGCATTGTGACTCCAGCATGATGGGAACTCGGAGAAAAAGATGGAGAGGCTGGATTTTTCTACTCTGAGCTGGGATTGTGCAAATATGAAGTGAATGAAATATTTCTAAGCCTCGGGGGCCCTAAAAACAAAGTGCCAGGGTTGTTTGCTCTGCCTTTTTGAATCTTATTGACAGAAACCAAAATACTGTATATACTCACAGGCCAGATCACAAGTGGATTTTCTTTCTTTTTTCTTTTTTTCTCAAATACCTTTTGACTATGGGCTCTTTTGAACCCAGTGGATCTATAAAGACCTGCAGGTGCCTACAGTGTGAAACACATGGTCAAATTTAGAGGGTAGCACATCTTTAAATATTCATTAATATGTTTTTTATCCAACAAATGAGTGCACATTTATTGTGATGACTTTGTTATTGCCCATCACTAACAAAACAACGGTAGGTTAACAAATAAATCATAATCATCTGTTGACTCTACTTTAGCCTGATGGGAAAAAAAACTGAATTTCAAGCTGTCAGATGCTCATAAATGAGCGGAAATTATGCTGTCGAAAAGAAATACATTTAATGCTGAAAGTGAACTGATCTCGGGAGCATAAATAGATAAAATTTGAAGCAGAGCTAAAAGGCTCTAAAGAGAGCGCGGGTGGATTCCTAGGGGGGCCATGCTATCTCTCAGATATGGTAATGGTGTAATTGTCATATTAAAACAACACAATGTGCGTTTAGGAGTCAGCAGGTGTCACAGTTAGTGAAAGCCCACACCAGCCCTCCTACTATACACTGTATTAATTAGTCCAACACTGTTTCAACTTCCTCCCCCACCTATGTACTCACCAAGGCAATCAGCCATGCTGACGCTCGACGGATACATCACCTCTTCTCTGCCACTCAGCCAATTTGAGCCATTTCCATATTCCTCCTCCCTAAGACTGTATGGTAATGGGAGAGGTGTAATTGAGAGGTGCTTTGTTAGTGGAGATTTAAATATGTTTCTTTGTGTGCGTTAAGAGTAGGGAGGGGGTGTATTTGGATCATTTGTGCTAGTTGGATCTTATTCTGCCGAGGAGCCCCGGTTAGCATCATTAATGCCTCCCCTTCTTCCCTCGTCTCTCCCATCACTTTACAAGGTTGCAGAGCCTCTAAAACGTTAGCTCCCTCAAAGCCCGCATTCTCCGCGAGTTGAAGAAATATTTTAGCAGGAAGATTTAAACAAGAACGGTGCAGCATTCAATAAACAATAATGGCCCCTGCAGCACTTAAAGCGTGGCAGGAGTCAGAGGAGATGTATCAATTAGAGCACTAAAGGAGCCACTGTGACTTTAATGAAAAATAACACTCGTTGCTAACAATAGGAAGGACTCCTTTAACACCAAAGTAAAGAAGTTTGGGAGTTTGCATTGATGGCTTCAGAAAAGCCAGATGGACGTCGTTAACTGACATCCCAGGACTCCTTGAGCAATGTCATTACAATATTTCCTCATTTTTTTTAAACCACAATTCCCCAACTATAATTATCTGCCTCTATTATCCATCTCTGTCTGGACGGCGGATGAGTGGCATTTGATAGATCATTTACTCTGGGCTCATTTACATGATTTCAGAATAAGTCTTGATGGGAATGGCATTGTATCAAGTGAGAGCCATAGATGACATGCGTACCATCTAACATGGATATTGTAATAGTGCAAATCAGATGCATATCCGTGAAACAGATTCATTTCCTGTGAGCGGGAGCTGTCAGTCACACGGCTGTATCATTTGTCTCAAACCGTCCCGTTTCTCCATAAATGCGTGCTATTTATTTCGGGAACGTGTCCTAAAAAGGTCATCCAGCAGCTGGTTGTTGTGGTGCGGCTCCCTGAGACATCTGAAACCTGTACTCAGAGTATTGATAAAGGCTGGAGGCGGGACCCCCTCACAGCTGGCCGAGGCCCCCGCCATTCACTGCCACACGCTCACATTTGTAAGCCGGTAGGGTGTTACCGCGCTCTCCCCCTCCTCCTCATCCCTCACTCCTTCCTCCCCTCTGGACCCAAGAGAACCCTTGGGGCCACCGAAATGTTAATGGGGCTTCTATAATTTACAGTTCCATTTGCTGCTATCTGTAGCCATCATTACGTACCGGCCGGGGAACAAAGGGGCCAGGAACGTTTACCTCCCCGAAAGTGTGGCCTGCCCCTGTGATAGGGCACCAAAATTTACCCTCAAGCAACACAGTGACTGTTCACTATCTATTTTTTCAACATGAGTTATTCTTCCTCTAGAAACAGAAAAGAAAGAAAGAAGGCTTCATCATTTAGTGAGTTTCTGTCACAGTGAACACTAATTCTGGCATAAATTAAAATGTTTGCAAAATGAATGTGAAGGTGTTGGAGGGGATGAACCCAGGCCTTATTCACAGGAGATCCAGGACACCGTTCTTCCTCATTTGTTTGGCAGTCTGTATGTTCCGAGGACAAAACGGGTGTCTACAAGTTTTATTGAACTGAACTGTTCGGACGCTTTTAAATGAACAGAAAGATTTTTGTCAGGGGTGTTTAGAGGTGAGTAGCCTTAACAGATGAATGTGTGGACAGGGGAATCAGAAATGCATAAAATTTTATCTAAGGACAAAAGAGTTAGTGATCAGCAGGATTGTTTTCACTGGGTTTGTTAAAGTTCTGACAGAGAACATTGGCGCCATCAATGCTAGCAGAGCATTTCATGGTGAAGTGTCCAGTCACTGTCAAGGTGCTTCAGTGAGAACCAAAATGGCGGCTCAACCAACCAGCACTGCACTCTAAAGTGGCACACATAAAATTCCAAAGGTGATATAATCCTTTAATAACGCCAAAGTAATGGCCTGGCTACAATTATCACTTCTCAGCATCTCGCTTTTCCCCCGTCGAACAGCATAGTGTAGACGGATGGAAGCAGGTGCAGCAAGCAGCCGGAATGATTTTGTCACAGAGGGGGCAAAAAAACGAATGAGTACATCTAAAACCAATGATGGGTTTGAGATCATTCCCTTTCACACTCTTCTGCCACAATCTGACGAGGAATCACGCGCTGAGAGAAAAGAGGGAATGACAGAGGGAGTGAGAAACCCACAACTAGAGAGAGATGGAGATGTGCGACGCCAGCCAAAACTTTTTCAATTTCACCGACAATTTCCTGTGTAATTACTGATGTGGTATGATGGTGTTTTAATGACAGGGACCTGCCAGTGACAGTGACATTGTGTGTGTGGATGTGAGGGAGATTGTGTGTGTGTGTGTGTGTGTGTGTGAGTGTGTTTTGTGGAGATCTGGCCAGGCCCGCTGATGATGGCAGAGTGATGAGATGGAGCCGTGCTGTGGAGATTAGACCTTTGTGCCCTCTACCCCTCACACCCACCGTACACACTCACAAACACACAAAAACGTGCTTTTCTGTCTGTGCAGTGATCCTTTAATGGCATGTTACATTTTCTTTTTTCTTGATCTAACCCCTACCTGGACATCAAACTGATTTCTGACACTTAGATGTGTTGGCAAAAGTTTTTGGGCTATGTGAAAGTAGAAAAAACACAGTTACCCTGTTCACCCTCCCCAACAAAACTATCTGCTCTCCCACCACACACACACACACACACACACACACACATATCCTCCACATCCCTTCGACCCACACCTATCAACCCTCGGATCATCAGGGCCATTGTGGTGGTAATCAGTGCCGCTGACCGTGTGCTGGTCAATGAGCCGGTACCTGTAGTCGCACCAGGGGCAGCGGTAGGGTTTCTCTCCGGTGTGAACTCGTTTGTGCCGTGAAAGGTGGGACTGCGTTGTGGAGGCGAAGTTGCAGAGCTTACATTTGAAAGGTCTCTCTCCTGTGTGGGGGGGACAGAAGGCAGAGATGAAGGCCAGATGACAAATTTAGATGAGAAAACTCAAACATAGATTAACAGAAAAACATAGAACTGACACGATTTGGATTATAAAATAAGCAAGGCATAGTTCAATTTGTTTTTCAAGCTTTTTTTCTCCCTTGAAAATGAACACCTTTAAGGTTTTCACTACCTTTTCCCCAGGAAACCGGAAATTCTCAGCTTTCTATACAAACTGCTCTAAATAACAGACTGAAGCTGCTTGTTCTGGATGTTAGCAAAGGTTAAAACAAAGAAGACAGATTCACATTAAATGTAGGGTCTGCTGATTTGACCGGACAGGTGTGACCTTCGGGTGACGTGTCAGTCCGCAGCCTCAGAGCTCTGACCAGCAGCTGAGCCCCTGGACCGCAGGCCTCTCGGTCATACGTCTGAGTCCATGATGTTTGAATTAACAGTTGCCTTTTTGATTCCCACCTGCTTATCTGTTACCAGAACCGGATTATCACGGGATTGCTGATATGCTGACTTTGGTAAGGTTACAACCTCTGCCTGCTCCTCAGGGTCTTGATTATTATGTCTCCTTTACCATGTCCTATAAAGTGAGCTCCTTACATTTTTTCTTCTCATCTTAAATGGTTTATCTCTCATCAGCCTATAATGGATCCTCATTAATGGATCTCAGTGCAATAAGCTCAAAGAGGGGTATAACTATCGTTAATCGAAAGCTTAGTGTTTAGATTTGCGAATATTTCTCTCTACACACACAGACACTGCGGGACATCTACTCCACAACAAGTTTCACTTTCTGTGGGTTTTCCTGCTTTCAATCATTTCCAGTCATCAAAACCAGTGACAGTGAGATCAGATTTGATCCAGAGGAGTTTGTTTAGATACCCACATAGGCATTTCCGTACTGAAAAGAACGTGGTTTCTGGAAATCCTGCCAGACAGAATGGTCCCTGCCTGTGCACCCACACATGCAGCGGCGTCAGTGGAACTGACACACGTCAGCGTGGGAGTGGGGGGGGGGACAGAAATTGGAGGCTTCTGGGGGAAACGGCTGAAACCTTCAGAGGCAAACCGGATGGACTATGAAAACCAAAAATGAATATTTATAACAGCTTTTTTGATCGCTGGACGCCTGCCAGATAACGCTTTAAAACAGTATTTGTTTCGCTATCTCTCAATTTCTTACCACCCCCACAAAAAAAAAAAAAAGAAACGTCTTGTTATTGACAGCCTATCTGAAAAATGCAATTTCCCTAAGCGACAGAATGACATGGTGAAATGATAACTGAAATTAAAAATCTCAGAATCGGTGGGCCGTGGCCGTACACCTGCCTATCACCGGCAGCAACGCGTCTCGCCTGACGCCATTCTGTGTGAGACAGAGGCTGCTCAGATCTGCAAGTGTCAGTCACCGTTCAGGATTCGGGAAGCCTGCGCATACGGGAGTCGGTTTGTTTGTTTTTTTTCTTTCTCCACAACTTTCCTGGACGCTTACCTGTGTGCTGGCGCCTGTGTTTTGTGAGGGCGTGCCTGGTCCCTCCAGCGAAGCCGCACAGGTCACACAGATAGGACTTCTCCCCTGTAAAGACAGAGTTTATGATCATAATGAGGACTGAGGGAAAAAAAACAAAAAAAAACACCCCACTGAGGTGGAGAGAGAAACTGGGACAGAATGAAAAACAGGATTTTGTTCCATTTATTTAATTCAATTCATGTCCATACGTCCCTCGAAAGCTGATAAATAATTTACATTTAACTCCACTTGATTGGCATTCAGGCAAGTGATCGGGTTAAGATCTCTGCTTTCTGTTTTTAAACACAAAGACACGGGAAAATCATCCGAAGCATTTTGCCTTTCAACAGCGTTTATCTATCTCTATGTGTCCGACTCTGAGTAAAGCCCGCTTTACCTAAGATTAATTTATCATTCATAAGGTTTTTGATTTACAGACTGAAGGTCTTGATCACGGAACGGGAAGTTTGGGAGACTAAATTAAAGACCGATCTTCCCAGGAAAGTTTGGATCTAGACTGAGGTTACTGTAAGGACCCACAGCCCTCTGACGGAGAGGACAGAAACACACCCAGCTACACGGCTGTATTTCACAGTCTAAATCTGAACTGTCCTTTAGCATGGCACAGGAAACCATCACTGAATCCACCCTTTTACCAAAAATATCCAGAGGAATCACAAAAAAAGACTTTATTGAACTGTTAAAAATCCCACTTATCCCGGTTGGCCGATAATGCAGCCGAGGTCAAACACACAGCTGATTATACTGCTTTAGCTTTTCATTCTGACAACAATAATATCAATAATAGCCAAGCTGGTCGCGTTCAAGTAAAGCATTATTTCTGAAAAAATGAAATGCGTGACATATTTGAATCTTGAATCCTCCGAGTGGAAAAATCTGCGTGTGGCTCTTTTCGCTCAAAACAACAGCTGAAAGCTCAACAAAGACAAAGAGGGAGGAGATGGTGAGATCCAGGAAAAAATGTGTTAAAGTAGGAGCGAGGCAGAAAGCGAGAAAAAAGACAGACTGAACAGATGAGCAGAGGGTCTAGTTGGCTAACAGATGAGCCAAGCAGAAGTCACAGATCACTAGTGTATATCCATCAGAGCTCTCATAGCTAACTAATTCCTCCAATCAGATGGATCCGTGTAAATATGTCAAACGGGGGACGGGAAATTGCCAGTGTGGTTTATTGACTGTGATAAAATCTGAAAAGCACCGCTGAACATAATTACATACTTGTCAGAGCCATAAAAATTAGCTTTATTATCAATGGGATGGTTTTGTACAACTTCATTTGGGGGCGATGCCTTCCAGATGGGGAGCGTGGAGAGCTTTTTTTACACTCCTCGTCTCCTCTCTGCATCTGGCTCCGTCATTAACAGCATGATGGTCTCTCTCCCTCTCTGCCACCACACACACATCACACACACACGCGCACACACACACACACAGACACACACACAACATTTCTGCATGCATCTGCAGGGTGGGCCCAGATGTGCATGCAAATCTGCGCACACGGTCGCTAAT